GTGAGGTGAGAGTGACAGCCCTTGATATCAAGGCTGCATTCGATCAAGTGTGGCATGAAGGAGCCCTGGCAAAACTGGAATCAATGGGTATCAGGGGGCAAACTCTCTGGTGGTTGGAGTCACACCTGGCACATAGGAAGATGGTCGTGGTTGTTGGAGGTCAGTCATCTCAGCTCCAGGACATCTCTGCAGGAGTTCCTCAGGGTAGTGTCCTAGGTCCAACCATCTTCAGCTGCTTCATCAATGACCTTCCCCCCATCACAAGGTCAGAAGTGGGGATGTTTGCTGATGCACAATGTTTAGCACCATTCTTGACTCGTAACATACTGAAGTAGTCCGAGTCCAAATGTAACAAGATCCGAACAATATCCAGGCTTGGGCTGACAAGTGACAAGTGACATTCGCGCCACACAAATGCCAGGCTATGACCATCACCAATTAGAGACAATCTAACCACCGTCCCTTTACATTCAATGGTGTTACCATCACTGAATACGCCACTATCAACATCCTGGGAGTTATCATTGATCAGAAACTCAACTGGACTCCCCACATAAACACAGTGGCTACAAGAGCAGCTCAGAGGCTGGGAATCCTGCAGCGAGTGACTCACTTCCTGACTCCCCAAAGCCTGTCCCACCATCTACAAGGCACAAGTCAGGAGTGGGATGGAATACTCCCCACCTGCCCTGGATGGGGGCAGCCCCAACAACACTCAAGAAGCTTGACACCATCCAGCACAAAGCAGCCGCTTGATTGGCACCACATCCACAAACATCCCACTCCCTACACCACCGACGCTCAGTCGCAGCAGTGTGTACTATCTACAAGATGCGCTGCAGAAATTCACCAAAGATCCTCAGGCAGCACCTTCCAAACCACAGCCAGTTCCATCCAGAAGGACAAGGGGCAGCAAGTACATGGGATCCTGCAAGTTCCCCTCCGAGCCACTCCCCATCCTGACTTGGAAATATATCGCCATTCCTCAGTGTCGCTGGGTCAGAATCCCTGGAATTCCCTCCCTAAGGGGACATTGTGGGTCAACACACAGCACATGGGTTGCAGCGGTTCAAGAAGGCAGCTCCCCCACACCTTCTCAAGGGGGCACCTAGAGATGGGGCAAGAAATGCTGGGCCCAGACAGTGACACCTACATCCCACAAAATGAATTTAAAAAAATAACCTGATCCTGTCCCAGTGTTGGGGTGGTCTGTAAGGACAGTGTAGAGAGAGCTTTACTGTGAGTCTAACTCTGTACTGTCCCTGTCCTAGGAACGTTAGATGGGAACAGTGTAAAGAAAGCTTTACCCTGTATCTAATCGTGTGTTGTCCCTATCCTGGGATTATTTAATGAATGAGATGCTTGCCAAATACTGACCTGAAAGTGTTGGCTGAGATTTTTGTTGATGACCAGCTTGACACCTTCAATTTGTTGTGGAAAAACATCTGTCCGGTTCAGGAAAGGAAATTTCATGGTTAACATCAGAGAAGATACTGAGACTGAGCCCCAACCGAGAGAGGGAACCCCTGTGCCAATGATCTCATCTCCCCTTCCCTTGACATTTTTCATAACAATTCCTATTCCCTGTGACCCTCACTGGCACTCACCAGAACTGTTGTCCCCTCCCACTCTGATTGCCCTCTGCGGTGACCTATCCCCCCTCCTGTGGACCACGCCCCTCTCCCAATCCTCCTGCCCTGTGATCCTTACTCCCGTGACCCCACCACCAACTCATGACCCTTACCCCTGACCATGACATTTATCTCACCCAATGACCCCTACCCTGCTCCCCACCATGACCCGTCTTTGCTGCATGACCTATGACCCCTGCCACTACACCCTCCCCTCTGTGACCCTTGCCCACCTGTGACCTCTGAGCTTTGGCCATTACCCCATAAACCTGCCCCTCACCATGGCCCTTACTCACCCAATGACCCTTGCCCTGTGGCCCTATCCCTTCCCACCATGACCTGTACCCTCTGCATGATCCCCGGTATCCTCCACCCCATGATCCCACCTCCCCTGCATGACCCTTGACCCCTACACCTCCGTGACCCCTGACCTTTGCACCGCCGGTGGAGCCGCTCGAAGCCGCCGGGATTGTGCAGGCGCCGCCGGCGCTCGGCCGCTGCCCGATTGCCCATGGGGCCGGAGAGGAGAGGGCGTGGGGTGGGCGCCCGCTCATGGAGGTGGGCCCTGGAGACGGGGGAAACCCCCTAATTCTCTTTTTCTCTCTCTCTCTCTATTTGCAGCTTTTTAAACCGCCCCAACCGCCGCCGACGGGCGCCGTCATCTTGGAGTTCCTCCCGCACACGCGCAGTGCGCGCAGGCAGCCGGCAGGCCACGCCCACACACGACAAGACGCGCTGGCGTCAGACGGACCGCTGTGACGTGTGGACGTTGGCCCCGCCCTTCCAGCAGACGAAGGGATTTTAGGGGTTGAGCTCAGGGGTGGAGCTTCCGTAAGGCTGTGGTGGAGTGGTAGCATCCCTGCCTCTGGATGGAGAGACTGGGGTTCAAATCCCATTCTCATCCCTGCAACAGATTAAGTCGCTTTCTTAGAGGCCCCCCCCACACAATCATTCAAAACCCTGCACTGTGGATACAGGCCATTTGGCCCGTTCATTTTTACGCTGACCCTTCAAATACCATCCTACCCTATCCCTGCAGTCCTGCATTTCCCACGGCCAATCCACCCTAACCTGCACATCACTGGGCACTATGGGGCAATTTAGCACGGCCAATCCACCCTAACCTGC